TGCCCAGTGTGTCTGGTGGCTGAACCACGCGGCTGGAGGGAAGGGCGGGTTGGTTGGTAGTTGCCGAGATACAGCTCAGAGGGCGCGATTGAGGCCAAGATGGTGCGGAAGAATAAAGTTGACAGGATTTACTGAAACTTATGCTTAGGTGAAGCTGGGGACAAATAATTTGGAGAGGATTTACTGAAGCTTATGCTTAGGTGAAGCTGGGGACAAATAATTTGGAGAGGATTTACTGAAGCTTAAGCTTAGGTGAAGCTGGGGACAAATAATTTGGACAGGATTTACTGAAGCTTATGTTTAGTTGAAATGAGGGAAAATAAGCTCAACTGGATTACACAAGAATTACAGACAATTCCAAAGTGTTGTCTCTTGAAGCCTGCAACTGTGTACAACAGTTATGCCTTTGTTTTTTTGTCTTCCAAATCTCACAGGTGCAAAGGGTGACTCATCCTCAGTCATCCACTCCACCCTGTTTTTGCCCACTTCGTGGAACTTATTCGCTCTCAGCTTTACCTAAGCATCAGTTACAAGGGAAGCCTAATGACGGGTTTTTGTGGAACAGGTTTACCTAAGCATCAGTTTCATAAATAGGGAAGCCCAATGACGGACTTTTGTGGAACAGCTTTAACTAAGCATCAGTTTCATAAATTAAGAAGCCTAACGAATAGTTTTTGTGGAACAGCTTTACCTAAGCATCAGTTTCATAAATAAGAAAGTCCCAGGAGCAAACTTCCTCATCCTTTCCGTTCTTCACCGCTCCCCTCTCCTCTCAAATGTACGTTACTTAGTCAATCGGACGCCAATTAGTCCTTATATCCTCTTATCCTAGCCCCCCTCCCCTGCCTCGAATGAAATCTGTCACATACCACACCCACTTCCACCTCCCACATTCAAACTGCCGCCATTCGCCGTGGGCATCCCTACCTGCCTCGTCGAGAAAAAATTTTTTGCGGCTTGTGTATGAGACGAGCCGAGCCGAGTTTAATTTAATTGCCCGAGTTTTTATGCAAATTTGCATATATGCAAAAGCACATATTGTGACGACCCCTGTGTGTGTGTATGTGTGTCTGTCCGGGTATTTCTACTCGGCACCCAAGCAAGCTCCGGC